TGCCGAGGAAGAACAGGAATCTGAGCAGGAATAGGGTTAGAAGTAGGAATAGGAATAAATAGGAGTAGGAATAAGAGCAAGAACAGGAAAAGGACAAACAGAAATAGAAATGACACAAATAGAAAGAAATGGAAATGATAGAAAGAGATAAGCAGAACAGAGACGAACCCCCAGGGGAAGCAGGAGGCTCTGCAGGAGGCCAAGCCGAAGTCTGGAGTACGGCCTCACTTCCCACGTGGGAATTGTAGCCGGGAGTTCGAGGAATTCATTCCGAGGGGACAGAAGTGCCGGGGACCAGCCCAGCCCTGGGAGCTGCGCCGGGATTCCCTGGGAGGGTCCCCAGGAGCCGCTGGGACACGCCAGGTCCCCAGCCGCGCTGTCGCCAGGGCTGGCCCCGCCGGGAGCGGCAGCTGCGGCAGGAAAAGCCGGTTGTGGGGCTGGAGGCCGGGGAGGGCAGCGGGGGAGCGGGGCAGGAGCGGGAGCGGGTCCGGCCAGTCCCCAACCAGTCTGGGACTGGGAGCTCTGGAGCGGCCGGGCCGGGCTGGGAGCTGTGGAACCCCAAATCCGGGACTGGGGAGGGGCTGCGGGGGCAGCGCGGGGGACAGAAGGGGGGATCCACGGGCAGGGCTGAGCACAGGCTCCGGTCAGCACCCCCCGAGTGTCCCCTGTGGGTTGTGGGGTCCCCCCACGACCTCCCCCAAGGCTGAGGGGTTTCTTCCCCAAGTCCCCCGAAAAGGCCGGTGGGTCTCCCCCGCGTCACCCCCAGACTGGCGGGGTCCCGGAGCCCGGCAGTGCCCCCGGGAGTCCCCGCGTGTCCCCCCAGCCCTGCCACAGCCGCGGGGATGGGGCTGGGGGGGTCCCCGATCCCCCCCCCACCCCCCCGGAGCATCTTTGGGTCAATGGCGTCACCTCGTGGCCTTTGGGGGCAATGACACCGCGGGGGTGACGTCACTGGTGTCACCGGGGCACGAGGGGCGGGGCCGGGGCGTGGGGACGGGGGATGGGGACAGGGGATGGGGACAGGGGACAAGGAGGTCCCCGTGCCAGGCCCGGCT